ATCCGGAACCTATAAGACCGGGGGTGGGGGTGGGGTGGGGGCTTTTTGTCCTCCTGTCTGACTTCCCTGAGCTTTGTGTCTTGTGTTGCGTCCTGCTGGTCTCCATCACTATTAGTCTGAGTTCAGCGACAGCCTCCATTCCCTTCCGTTGTGCCTTAGATCCCACTAGCTGAAGTCTCCAGCCTTCTCCCTCACCATTTAACTCCTGCTGGCTTGAAGGAACAGGCTCTGCCTTGTGAAGTTTGGAAACTTGAATATGCTGAAGCTCTTGCTTTTGTTCTTGGAGTCTAGGAGGCACTTGTGGCTTTAAAGTGAAGACTCCAAAGGTGATCTCCCAACAGACAACCAAACCACAAAGGATGCTATGTAAAGCTGCATCCAGTCTTGGATATTTAGACCTTTTTATATATATAAATGATGCTCATAATACCTTTGATCTGCTTGTGTTTTTTTGTGCCACACTTGAACGGAGAGTTATTGTGGGCTAGCCCACAGAAGTGAATAAAATGTACTTTCTAGTCTGTGAATGTAAGTTTTGCATTCAAGCATCCTTGCAGCCCATCTCAGGCTTGCAGTGTCAATCACTGTGTCCTGGTGAGGAAGACGTCCAGCTGGTCTGTCCCATTGGAGGTGTTCATTGGATCTGTTCTGAATTGTATTCTGTTCTTCTGGAACAGCTGCTGTTCTGGTTCTGTTCTAGTCACAGAATGCAAACTGACCAGTTAGTTTTTATAAATGCTTATGTATATGGCAGTACGGTGATTCTATTTGTTTACTATTCTTTACATTTATTTTATGTATTTTTATCCCTCTAAGGGGCACAGGGTGGCATACATCATTCTCCCCTCCTCAGTTTTATTCACTCAGCAACCCTGTGATGAGAGAGAATGACTGGCCCATGATCACCCAGCAAGTTTCATGGCTGAGTTGGAATTTGAACCCGGGCCTCTCTAGTCCAGCACTAACCACTGTACCACACTGGGTGTATAAATGTTGGCTATATGAGCAGAAGGATGATGAAACTGTCTTGAAGGAGGGAAATAATTTAATCAGTTTTGAGGACATATCCTTAATTTTTCTAGCTCAGTTTCACTTGCCATTTTAAAGTTGTTTTGAGCTTCTCTTTCATTGTTGTACATTTGTGCTAGACAGGAATACAGATTTAAATGTGCTTGTGTCCATTTTTAAATGCATTGAAGTGAAGATTATGCAGGAAGATAGATTTACAGTAACTTCCTGTAGTTTTTGTGTCAGCAGAAGTGTCTTCTTTCTTCAATAGAGTTGTACATATTTGCAAATGGCGTTTGTACGTTACCTTTTTTCCTTGTATGGAAACTGCTAACAAGAAATGTATATTAAAAGGTAGGAAACTCTGCACCATATTTTCTGCCTCCAGTGGATACCATTGCAACAAGTGGTTTACAGAGCTGTTTGGAAGGGAAAGCAGGAAGAGGAGATGGGGGAGGGGAACACTAGAAGTTCAGCAATGCAAAGGGAGCACATCAGCAGTATCCATCATGCTTCTTTGATGTTAATTTGGCTTCTGGGGATATTTCCCACGCATATAACATGTAGTTGGAACTTTATTATTAGTTTTCTGCATCTTTTCCCCTCCCACCTCCTTCTATGTCCCCAATCCTCCAAGCACTTCAAAGATTTTTGTTTGTTTGTTTAAATTGCTATATATGGCCCTGACCTGGATAGCCCAAGGCAAGCCCAATCTTGTCAGATCTCGGAAGCTAAGCAGGGCGACCCTGGCAAGTATTTAGATGGGAGACCATCAAGCCACTTCTCTGAAAGTCCTCCATACCCCAACAGGATTTGCCAGAGGTTGCCATGACTTCCAGGCAGGGGCACACACACACACAAATGCAAAAGTACCCCAAAAAAGGCTATATATGTACCACTAGACTACATAGCAATATTTAAATGGATTAAAAAAAAAAAGGCACTGTAGATGTGAAATTGCTTGCCTTGTATATTGCTGGTCATGTCACTGGTAGAGACAGAGGGTGCTCGGGCAGTTAATGCTTAAAGATGTGGGTGCATACTGAATTATTGAACTGCATCTAAATCTACTCATAGGGCACTATGGGGCAGCATCTGGGATAGGCAAGGGGAGGACTGGCAGGAGCGCAGCCAGTCAAAGCATAACTTGGGAACAGTAGCAGTGTAAATTAATGGAAGTTGGGGAGATTCCCAAATGATAATGCAGTGTGTTTTAAAATGCATGTATGGTTTCAGCTTTGGTTTATACTACCATACACAAAATGAAAACACAGGAATAAGGGAAAAGTCCAAAATATAAGAAAGTCTGTGTGAATAATTAATAACTCATAAATAACTAAATGTAATAATATAATAATATAAACAACCAATAACTTCAATATAGTGAAAAAAGGACTGTTTAAGTACTGCTTAAAGGAGCTGCATGCATTATTTGGAATCCATCAGGTTGAGCATGATTATATTATACTGCAAGCTGTGAAATTTGGCCATGATTACTTAAAGGAATCGCATGCATCATTTGGAACCCAATACGCATGTATTATTTACAGCTAGTCTGGGGGTTGTGCTTTTCATAAAATATAAATAATTTGGCACAGCCTTTTTATATGATTGAAACACTTCGTAGGGGACATATGTAATTGATGTATTATGTTGAATTTATAGAGTATTGATTTTTGCACTATATTGTATTTATAGGTTATATTATTATATTTAGTTAGTTATGGGTTAATTAGTTATTATTCACACTGACTTTCTTATATCTTGGTTGATACTACATCATATTTATAATAGGAAGGATTAATTACTTCCTGTTCTATGAGCTTTTTTCAATTAGTTTCACATTTCTGTGACTTAAATCACTCTTGGAAAAATTAATTGCTACCAACATGTCTGGCAACCTCTTATCTTTTGAAATGAGATTAAATTGTGACTCAAAAGAAGTAGACAAGCTAATGAGATAATGCAACACTCCAGGAACAAATGCCCTGCTTTTCTGCTTCTGTTCAATATACATAATCATCTCTCTCTCTTTTAATAGATATACCGGCATATCAGTTAAGTTGGCCATATTCTGCTTAATATAGCAGAATTCGTATTTTAGGGTAACAGTTTGTGCATTGGGATGCAGGAATTGTTATATTATATGATGGCTTGAATTTATTCTGCCCCAACTCAACATATTGAGTTCACAAGCTCTCTTATCAGAGTACTGTGAAGTCATAAGCTTCATTGTCAAAATATTTAAAAAGGAATATGATCAGAGAAAGGAATGAAAGAAGGGGTTCAAATAGCCAGTTCCTTCCCAATTAAGAAAAATCAAGCATTCCAAATCATAAAACTTGAGGACTTTTTTCCACTCGCTAAAGTGGTACTGAACACGGCAGGAAAGAGAGGGAGGGAACCCTAGTGATAAAGGCATGCAATAACTGGGAAGCCGTCAAAATTTTGGATCTCTCCCTGAGAATGACAGGACTTTTTGTGTGGCCTTTGATGGGTAAGTTGACTTTAACCTCTCTCTGTCTCATAACTGAAATTTTTGCTTCATAGGACTATAGGTAATATTCAGATCTGTGTAGAGAAGAATTAGATTATGAGAGTGATACATAAATGCTGAATTTGTTTGCTTGTTGTGTGTGTGGTTACTGGGAACAGTAGAAAATTGTAGGATGTTAAGACCACTTAAGTGCTTCGACAAAAAAAATACAAAGGTATACTAACTTGAACAAAACTCCAATAAATGTAGAGAATTACTTATGAATAAATTGCAAAGAATTGGGCTCTAAATTACATTGATTTCAAGGAGTTAGGTGTGCCTAACTTTCTCTGGATTGCTCTCGTTGTTCTGACTTCAGCCTTTCATTTCTGCTCTGTCAATGTCTGTCAATTCCCTATTCCTGCTTCAGACCCTCCTTCCTCAGGGTCCCCTATCCCCCAGATCCAGCATTTCTTAGAGATCAGTGGGTTGTAATGGGAGTTCTGTCCTGGGTGCTCAATTCCCAGTTGCTGATGGTGCCCAACTTGGATGGACTGTAGTGTATGGGGAGAACAGGATTAAGCCTCCTGTTTTTCTGACCTAGAACAACACAGGAAGTAGATGTTTGTCTTATTAGTGAGACTTCTATGTACCCCCAGCTAGGCAAATAGTAGCCCCTGGGAGGTAATATAATGCAGAATGTGGGGGAAACTGAATAAAAAGAAGATTGAACTCAATTTTCATGCAGAATGGGGAAAAAACCTGGATTAAAAAGGTCGAATTCAATTTTAGTGCAGAATTGCTTGGAGGACACCATGGTGAACATGGATTAAAAGGACAGTGCAGAAAGGGCCTTTGTGTATGTATGAATTGGCCTTTACTGGCAGCAGAGTGAGTAAGACTTCAGTGGAATTTCTAAGAAGATGAGCCCATCTCCACTAGTAGAATTTATGTACAGGAATCAGTCGTTTCTCAGAGTTACATATGAAGGTGTTTACAGTTGTAGCCAGCTACACC